TAATTGTTGCTTTTATCAATTTATTTAAATTTCTTTTTTATTCTTTTCTCTTTTAAATAAAACTTAATTTTTCAATTTTAACAAAATAATATTTATATATATTTTTTTTTAAATTTTTGTAATTTTTTTATTTTGTTTATTTTTTATTTTTTTAAAATTATTTAAAATTTTATTTTTTTCCAAGTGGGGACCAGAAATTACGCTCGTGCATAGAGCGCATCGATTTTTTTTTGTAGTTTTTTTTTTGGACCTCCGTGCACGGACTCTTCGTTTTTTTGTTATATATATATATATATATGAATGTATATATAATTGGCAAAAATACAAAGGAGCAGATCATTTTACCTTAATACTTTTAAGTTTTTCTTAATTACATATTACTTGAACATATTCTTTTTCTTTATATTCTGTACCTTGACTGTGTTCTTCTATTTCTATTGATTTTCCTTTATTGTTATATTCTAACATTTCTATTTTATTTATTATAAATTTTTGCATTTCTTCTAGGCTTTCAATATATATATATATCTTCTTATAAAAAGGGGAAGGAGGGTCTATTAATCCAATTTTACTATGCATGATGTCATTTTTTATTTTTCATTTTGTTTATGTCAAATAAATGTTCTTCCACACATCATGCCACTAAAATTAAAAAAATAATAATAATTTTAGTAAATATAAACTGCCATGAGCAAAAAAAAAAAAAACTCATTTTCGCACAATGCGGAGAGATGGCAAACCATGTGCGCAGAGTTGGCAAACTTTATGTACAATGAGAAGTAAAAAATAAAAAATAATTTTTTTTTTTTTTACAAATAACATAAAAAAATTTATTTTTATCTTCAACAAAAAAGCACATTTAAAAATTAGCAATTTCATAATCACTTTTTTTTATTCCCAAAAATACAATTATAAAAAAGAAAACAATATTGAATTACAAAAACCAATATTTGCCAAACACGGTATCTAAAGACAATATGTGCAAATATGGTATGTTGTGAATATAGTATGATGCAAATACAGTATGCTATATATATGGTATGATACAAATACGATATGCTGTAAATACGGTATGATGTAAAAACGGTATGCTGTAAATACGGTGTGCTACATATACGGTATAATGCAAATACAATATGTTGTAAATACGGTAAGATGCAAATACGGTATGCTGTAAATACGGTGTGCTGCATTAATGGTATGATGCAAATACAGTATGCTGCATATACGGTATATTGCATATACGGTATATATAATGCATATACGGTATGAATGAATCCAGTTTCGTCCACTACAATAAATTTCAATACCATATATGTTGTCTGCAGCTTACCATATATGCAGCATACCGTATTTACATGTAACTTATCGTATATACTACCTACTGTATGTGCAGCTTACCGTATATACCGATTTTTGCACTTACAAATACCGAAAGTGCAGAACACCATACATTCACTTATCAAACCGAATGTCAGAAAAAAATTTCAAAATTTTATTTTTTCAATATAAGCATAAAATAAATATTAAAATATAAGAAGGACAAAATATAAAACGCATATGAATATGCAAGTCGATTTATAATTATGCAGTGACACATATTATACATTTGAAATTTCTTATGTCGGTGAAAAATAACTTTGAAGTCATTATAGAGCGAATTAAACCACCGCAATGTCTATACTAAAAATACAATTGTGCAAATTAATATGAATTAAATCCACATTATACGGGACTTGGATTTATTTATAACAAATGTTGGTGATTAGTCTAAAGACAATATGTGCAAATACGGTATACTATAATACTATATGTTATAGTTAAGATATAACATACTATACGTATATATTATAATACAATGTTTAGCATAATATAATGAGAAATTATTGTTGTACAATTTTTTTTGTTATATTACAGCAATATGTATATTACAACATATAACTTACCGTATATGCTATAATACAATCTGTGCGGTCATGCAACGACTTTTTTTTTTAAAATTTAATCATGCAACCTTATATTTGTTTAGTTTGTTATTTTATTAGTTAAAAATATGCATTAAATCTAATAAAAAATATAATTACAAGAATAAGTTTAATTTCAATATAATACAAATTTTTTTTTAAAGAAATAATTATTGTTAACAACAAAAGAATTTAAAAAAATGAAGAAGACAAAAACGAAAAAAGTAAAATTTGTGAAAAGAAGAAAATGAAAGCATGATGCCAAAAATTTTGGCATTATTGTTTGAATGAAATATTTTATTGATACACAAAAGACTTTTGCAGTCATCGGGTTAAAAGTATGGATTTATTGTATTGTGAATTTTTTTTTAAATAATCATAGTAAATCTTCTTATTACGATAATAAAATTACAATAATTTTTTTTACAAGTGGTATAAAAAAATCATTTTTATCTTCAACAAAAAACACATTTAAAAATTAGTAATTTCATAATCACTTTTTTTTAAAATTCCCCGAAATAAATTATAAAAAAGAAAACAATATTGAATTACAAAAATCAATATCTGCCAAATACGGTATCTAAAAACAATATGTGCAAATACGGTATGCTGTAAATACGGTATGATGCAAATACAGTATGCTATAAATACGGTCTGATACAAATACGATATGCTGTAAATATGGTATGCTGCATATATGGTAAGCTGCAAATACGATATGCGTAAATACGGTATGTTGCATATATGATATGTAAAGCGCATATACGGTATGAATTAATCCGGTTTCGTCCACTACAATAAATTTCAATACAGTATATGCTGTCTATCGTATTTACAGTTTATCGTATATGTAGCTTATCGTATTTATAGGCAACTTACCGTATATGCTACCTACTGTATTGCAACTTACCGTATATAGTGATTTTTGCACTTACAAATACCGAGATTGTAGAACACCATACATTCACTTACCAAATTGAATGTAAAAAAAAAAAAAAAAAATCAGATTTTTATTTTTTCAACATAAGCATAAAATAAATATTAAAATATATGAATGACAAAATATAAAACGCATATGAATATGCAAGTCAATTTATAATTTTATGTTCAATCTTCAATTTTTCAATATTGAATTACACAAAATTTAGAAATATAATCTTCACATTCAATTCAATCATATCAAAACTATCAAAGAATATAAGTAAAATAATTTGTATAACCTCATATATTTTTTTATCTAAGTATGAAATATACAAGCATATTTTTTTAGATAAAACAATACTGTTGCAACTGTAAAAATAATTTGCAATCATTTTCTTATATCATAGAAATATTTTTAGATATTATTTCAAAAACTTTCCAAAAAATTAAAATTCATACGCTAATAAAAATCTGATATATACAAAATTCGTGCAATGCACGCGACAACGACTAGTCTTTTAGAATATTATGTATTGAAACCGACAGGAGGTTCTCTAAATTAAATGATTCATATGTGGACTAATTGGTGGATATAGAAAAATATGTTTTTTCTTTTTTCCCCTTTCAAATATATACCTACAATATAGCAATTATATATTTTCTTTTTAATAAATTACCGATGGAATAAAGTATCTACCAGCAGATTGTTTCCATTTGAACTTCTATTTTTCTTTTATTTTATATTTAACAATGAAATTAGTTGTTTTAAAATCTGTCGGAAATATTAATTTATTAATTAATTAATTTTACCAAGTTATTACCAACAGAATTTTGCCGATGGGAGATTTTGCATCAGAAAGTTCCCGAGTCCTAAAAGATCCTTGTTTGTAAAATAATTTAAAAAAGTTATTGTTTATTGTCCGTCAATAAGTTAATTATTCTGTCGGTAATCTGTTGCCAATAACGACAGAAATTGACTATCGATAAATTTCCATCCCTAAAATCGCACTTTTTAGTAGTGGAAGTAGTCGAAATTCAGTTGATCTTCTTAAATTTGATTTCTTGTCTAAACTACCTAAAAGAGGAGTATACTTGATCCCAAGGCTCCTTTTCGCTTTGATTAATACAACTACTGACTTGGCAAAAGGTACACCAAATACTAATGTTTTGTTACGGTATACAGTTTCCTTCGATTGCCTGGACATAACATTCGACTTGATTATACTAGGTAGTAAGATTAATCTACTTTCTTGGTTATATACTGTCATGATTTGATTTTATGATTGCATCGTTAATTTCTGCGTTGATAAAACTTAGGAGAGAGTTATCTGTCAAGGTCAAATATAGTGTTGGTTTCGTTTTTCTGAATAACTCGCATAACTTCATCTTGAATCAAGTGAGAAAGAATACTACGAAGACAAATTAACATGTAGATTGAATGAGAGATTAAGGATGAAATCAATATCTTGCAAAATTGATGGACAAAATTTGAAAGTAACTTAATTTTAACTTGTTTACATTCATATATTTTCTCTCTAGTTCTTACGTCAAAGAGGAGTTTTCTTATGTTGCAGAGCGTGTTGTATTAATATCATGTCCAATATATTATTTCCCTCTATAAATCTCAACTTTTCAAAACCAATTCTAATCACATCATCGGTTCTCTTTTTTTTTTTTAAGTGAACATATGTCATAATATTTTGTGTGAATTAGTATAATTATGGTTGAATTACTCAAATGTTAAAGTGTATTTTGGTCAATTATCTATTGTAATATTGCTCATGCATGGTATTAGATATGGAACATTAATAAAATGGACATATATTTATTAGAAAATTTTGATAACTCTTATAGTTAACATTATATTTTGAGAAATGAGAAGCATTTCACAAAATTGCAAAAATTTGCTCACTCAAAAATTTTACACACACACACACACACTAGCTAGAAAAAATGTTGAAGGAATGTTGTTGGGCATGTGACTCCTACCATGAGATCATAGGTCACATGCGAGAAGTCACAAACAATTGTAATTTTAACTCCTGCTATCTTGTAGAATTGGGGACAATTTCATTTGACATTATTCATAAAGACATAAATGATTGCCAAATGTGATGGTCGTGACATTTGATGGAATGTTTAGCAACATGCAATTATGACTCGTATTATTAGTATCCCTTCTGTATTGTTGAGCAGTGATCACGAATTTTTGAACCTCCGAACAGTATAATTGAAAAGATAATGGTTATTTTTTTAAATATAGTTAAGTGAATGATTCATTCTATCTTTATATTGCGATAAAAAGAGAGTACATATTGTTAAAATTGCCATAACTTTAGAAACGAAATCAGTATTTCATAAATAGAAGTACTTTAAAATATTTGGATATATTTTAAGCTTAAAATACATATAACAAACCCTTTTGAAAGTTCACAATTTTTAATGTGGTTCTTATGAATTTTGTGAAAATTTATTCAAATCTATGAAATTTATTAAAATTTATAATATTTTAGTTGAGAACACCCATTAATTCCTAAATATGTGATTTAACAATTTTTTTTTATTAATCACCAAATTTGTCAAAATTAAAAGTTAATATTCGGTTGTTCTAATTTTTTTTTTTTTCTTTTTTCATCACACTCCATTGAGGCCCACTTGAAAAATGGATTAGAATTTGATAGGAGCCCATTTTGTGAAACTTTTCAACTTGCAGATTCTTTTGTAAAGCCCAATTAAAAGGCAAGCATATCCAACTATTTTGTCTTTGGCAAATGGGGACAAGCGGCTAAGGTTTTCTTCATCGGAAATACACTAAAAATTGGGAACTATTCAGAGTGAAGGAGAGGCGAACAGGGCGACATATTCATCACCCCTTAGGAACCAATTTATCTTGTGATGCAGTGATTTCTACTCAACTTTTTCATCACCAAATTTGGAAGGTAGTATCTGATTTTACTAGACTTATTGTTACGAATGATTTTAATTTCAACCCAACTCCTTATAATTTATATATATATATATTTTTTTTCTGAAAATTTTATTTCTTGATGGTAATCTTCCTCTAGGAATAATGATTTTTTCGACAGCATTTCTCTTGAATTTTCGATATGGTTGTTAATGGTTTTCTCCTTTCCTTGAAAACTGGCTGCCTCCTCAAGTGTAATAGGTGAAAATATCCAGGATCGAAATCCAGTTTCCCCCACTAAACCCCAGGTGGCTCCGCCCTGATATAAACAAAATAATAGAAGATTTGGTGAAAATATCTGTAATTCGAATGTGTACTGACTCAAACGAAATTGTACTTCTCTTTGGATGCTGAGAAATAACGTTTCAATAATGCACACAAAGGTAGCATTACTAGTCGCTTGACCAGCTGCTACTTCTTAAGAGTAAATACATAAACCAGTCCACTATTCTGATCAAAATGACTAAGTTTAATGACTTTGCCGGTAACTCACTGTACACTCGAGGCCAACCTTATCTCGAGAAAAACAAAACCCGCATGAATAGACATCTTGTCAGTTAGTTATAGTGAATCTAGTAATAGTCCCGAAAGCAGCATTGTATTGGTCTTCTATTGTCCATTTGATGAGGAAGTATTTAGTTTTTTACTTGTGTTCCTGCTTGTGAAACACATGATGTTGGAGTGCTATCAATTACAAGTACTAAACATTTGAATGTGTCGTAGGCAAAGTTGACATATTCACTTCCACTCATTTTGCATCTCAAGGTTTTGACATTTGATATTATATGACACTGAACTGATCTGTGGAATATTATTAGTTTGGATGGTACAAGAAAATGTAACTGGCAGCTGTTAGGAACACTTCAATCTCCAGTTGCAGACAGTCAAAATCGATCAGCTTGAAGGATCAAATCAAAAATATCCCAACTGTGCTTGTTACTAGTTTTTCTGATGAACTCTGTATTTCCAACTTTGTCTTTCGTCCCATTCAAACCTTCCCTGCAAGGAGTGCCATCCTATCTACATTTACAGCCTCTTTATCCATTTGGTTACTGTCATTATTCTAAAATCAGTTTTCGATCATCTCTGTCAAACCAAATTCCTCTCATCTCACTTCATTCCTCACCCAAGATGCAATCTTTGGTTAGTGCTGCAATTCCTTCAAGTGAGGGGGCGATTTCTACAGTCAATTTTGAAGATTTTGTGGAGAAAGATTGGTCGGTTATTGATTTTGACGAAACAAATTCTGCCGAAGAACATTTGCAGAAGATTGACCATATCATCGCTGCTGGAAAGATTGTAGAAACTTCAAAGGTTCTGGTTTCTATTGGTTCTGAAGGATTTGTGGATAGAGTGGTTGATTCATCACGTTGTCAACAATTGCTCGTTGTTCATGACTCTCTTTTCATCTTGGCATCCATCAAAGAGAAGTATGATAAAGTCAAATGCTGGCAAGGAGGACTGGTAAATGTACCTGATAAGTGGACACCTTTTGATGTCGTATTTCTCTACTTTCTCCCTGCTTTACCCTTCGAACTTCATCAGGTTCTTGGGTCACTTGCCAAGCATTGTTCACCAGGTAGAAATGAACTGAATATACTTTTGTTGCGCTTCTGAACTGATTCTATCCAGTCTACACTACTCAAATAGACCTGAACTTTTGTGATTATATCCCAAACCTAACTGCTGATGCGATAGACGAACTTTATTTACTATCCCTTTTCATCTTGAACCATTAAGTTGATTGTTTTGGCACTCTTCCAGCTTGGTGAGCTTGGAACTACGAAACTTCTTTATATTTCTCATGGTTTATTCTGGTTTTTTATGTTGAAAAGCATGTTTAATTAGCTCAAAGATTGTGTGTTGAATGAAGCAAAAAGCTATTTGGATGGTACCAGAAAACCTTAGATGTTAACAATGGCATCACGTTATGCGCAATAACTTCTTGTGATTGTTTGTAGGTGCAAGAGTTGTGATCAGTCATCCACAAGGCAGGCAAGTTTTTGAAAAGCAAAGAGAGCAATACCCTGATATGGTAGTCTCCAATTTGCCAGAGAAATTGACATTGCAAAGTATTGCCACTGATCATTCCTTTGAAATGATTGAATTTGTAGACGAGCCTAGTTTTTACCTTGCTGTTTTGGAATTCAATGCGAATAACTTGGTTTAATGGGTAAGTACTTCGGAGGTGTTCTTAATGTTAACCCTTCGACCGAACTTGTGTCATCAGTGCTGTATAATTGTAACCACCAAAATTTCTGTTAAAATCGTTCTGGATTATATGTGTTAGTATCACACTCAAGTTATCGAACTTTATGTGCATTGATTTTTCCTTCGCTTTAAAATTCTCCCCATAATTTAGTCCTTGTTTGAGCTCCATTCTTTAAAAATTCATGTTTTTTTAATCAAATTCATTTTCAAACATGCATTTTCAATAAAATAATTTTACACGTAAATTTAAAAAAAAAAATCTACGTTTTAACCACTTATTTTTAGAAAATCACTATTACAAAGTTTATTTTATCAAAAAATGGTCAACTCAATTTTATTATTAAAATCATGCTAGAGTTACAAAATGATTGACATAATATTGCATAAAATTACATCATTGGACCATTTTAATACAATTAATTTTTTTATTCAATCATATTTTATCAACTAACATTATTTTGTTTTTTTGTCAATTACATTCATGTCAAAGTGACATAATCTTATTATTTTTACCATCCACCGGAAAATAGTGGTAAAGATAGGGTTCGGTATTACGAATCCAGATACTGTAGGATTGGAATCTGGCGATAAAACCTATGTTTGAATTGAAGTTGAGATACTGATACAAGTTCTTTCCTTCAAGAAATGACTCGAAATTGGATCTTGGTCTATATGAGATTGTTCCTTACGACAACTCAAAACACCAATTCATTAGTTGAACTCACCTTTAGCTTCAACTTGACCTAACCTATCTAAATCGAGGAGCGAAGGCACTACACCGTTCTCCCAATCTCAAGCTACCTCTTCGAGAGGAGGGAAAGGTAGATTGAAAACAAAGCCAATCATAGAAGCAAGTAGATCAACGTGAGTTCCTCGTTTGAGTCTAGGATTTCCCTTCCTTGATGGCTTTTTGGGAATTTGGAATTTGGAATTTCGATATCAACTGCCCGGTCAAAAGGTATATGAATATCCTACCCCAACCCCCCACCTTTTCATCGATTGACCAATTTCGTTTTATATGTATTATAAAGTAAGAAAATTTCTAGGAAGAACCCGCTGCTGAACATGAAGGCTAGCTACTAGCGCTAACGAATCTCATTGTGAATGATATTTACTCTCTTTTCGAGTCTCTCTTTCATGGCATGCTCTTAGAGTAGGGTGACTCCATGACCAAAACAAAAAGGTATGGGGACAAAGGGGGGTCCCCTTTACTTTGTCCCCTCTCCCGATGGTCGAGCTAAGACAGACGAGAGATTGAATTAATTGAGATTCAGAAGGTGGTCGAAGATGAGTAGAATGCGTTAGAAGGCATTAAGGGGCCGATACCCAAGACGCCTTTGGTTGAATGTTCACACCTGATTCACCGTCTGCTAGCCTTTGTGATGAAGGAGGATCCGAGTCGAGTGATGCTGATTTGTCAGATAGCACAATGATGGCGCTGAGATACCATGAGATGACAGATCGGCGCAAAGATGGAAAGTGAATTGTAATTATTTTTTAATTGAGGGAATTTGACGCGTCTTTGGTAATTTGGCCATAACTTTGGCTACGGTTATCAGAATCGCTATTATGACCCCAATTCGAAAAGCTCTCTTCTGCACGTACGTCGTGGCCACCGAGCATAGCTCACTCGATGGGTGTCAATTTCGAGTCCAAAATCTGCTGTTTTCCTTTCCAAAATTCAATTTTAAGTTATTTTTTTGCTATTTATGGTAATATTTCGTTTCCTTTTTCCACATGTTAGAAAACTCGAATTGAGCCAAATTTTTGGCAACCTACTTCTTTTACTTAATATTTTATTCTGGTATAATTTCGGGATTTTGCCATTTTTGGTAATTTTCCAATAATTTCGTATTTCGCATCTATTTAACCCAGCTTGTGGATTAATTTTGGTCATTCTGCATTATTAGTAATATTGAGTTGATTTCAGAGTATTTTATCTGATTTTTGGGCGTTTTCTGTCGTTCCTTTCTTACGAATTATCTGCTACAACAAGTCAATAGGATAATCACTATCCTACCTGATGTCAGTTGGTATCAGAGCGTCAGTATCTTCTTGGGAGATAAATTCCATCAGTTATAATGGTTGGTGGACGCGATCGTCAAGGGCAGGTTCCGATTGAGGAAGTCCCGCATCGTGATCGTAATATTCAGGATGTGGCGATTGAAGATTTGGAGAGACAAGTTGCGGAGTTAACCCAACGTTTGGCGAACAGGAGTTCGGTAATCATGATGTGGAGGGTCACGATTCTGATACCAGTTTCGAAAACCCGTATCACCATCGTGCTCGAGTTTGGGAGCATCATGGACGGGAGGATCGTCATGTGGATCTTGGGTTCAGAGTGGATCTGCCCGAGTTTTCTGGTAGGTTGCAGGCAGAAGGATTTATTGATTGGCTGAATGAAGTGGAGCGAATTTTTGAATATAAAGAGGTTCCAGATCGTGTCAAAGTGAAACTGGTCGCCATCAGACTCAAAGGTAAAGCATCTACATAGTGGGAACAATGAAGCGTTCACGGGAGCGATAGGGAAAATCCAAAATTACTGACTGGGAGAAGATGAAGAAGAAGATGAAAGGGCACTTCCTCCCTTTCGGCTATACTCAAACCTTGTTTCAGAGGCTCCATTCACTAAGGCGAGGCGGAAGATCAGACAATGATTATACTGAGGAATTCTACAGCTAGTGGCTCGGAATGATTTATCCGAGTCAGAGGAACAGATGGTAGCACAGTATTTGGGGGGATTAAGGCAGCCCCTGCAGGATGTTCTCAGCCTTCATTCATGGTGGACAATTTTTGAAGCATATCAGCGGGCACTTGCAATGGAGAAACAGCAAAGTAAGAGGCCAGTGGTCAGAGGTAAAGGAAGTCAGCCAGTTCGCCCTCAAGAATCTCGTCTTGTAACTTAACTTCTTTTTCTGGTCGTTCGGCTCTGTCGATCGATTACTTAAGAGACTGAAGGGGGAAGACCCCAAAGATATGATTGGCTCTTCCTTATCAGCCACAGCGGGACAATTCTAACTCAAGTATTAA